TATATATATATATACCGCATAACCCGTGTAAGACGGTCACTCATTTTCGAGGAGAACAGTGGCCGTATAAGACAGGTGGCCATCATGGTCAGAACTTATCAAAAATGAAGAAAACAAACGATTTAGTTCTGGTCCCAACTAGAGGTTGTTGCAGGCATAGGACTGCGAAGCTCATTTAAATGTTGTTGTTGTTGTTGTTGTTGTTGTTGTTGTTGTTGTTGTTGTTGTTGTTGTTGTTGTTGTTGTTGTTGTTGTTGTTGTGTTGTTGTTGTTGTTGTTGTTGTGTTGTTGTTGTTGTTGCTGTTGTTGTGTTGTTGTTGTTTTCTTTTGAAAGGGGGAAAAGGTATAACGGTTTCTTTGGAACGTTTTGTTGTTAGTTTTATTTAATTATTCATTTTTAAAAACTATTGTTCCGTGAAATGTCAAAACAAAACGAAATGTGTCAGACAAGGAAGGCCAAGTGCCATAGTAAAACAAACAAATGGGTCGCCACCACATTTCTGTCCCGAGTTTGTGTTGACTTCCCTTGTTGTGGCCTGGGTTTACGGACTGAGTTGTGGGCGGGGTTTACGGACTGAGTTGTGGGCGGGGCTTATAGGCTATAGGTTATGACGGATCTCAGGCTTCCCTTTCCAGCAGCTGAACATTTGTTACCCATTGGTCAGCTCGGGTAAACATTGGGAGGGGAGCGACTTAATACGCGTGCCCACTGGGGGGTCGGGTCTGACCAGGGCGGTTCGCTAGCCAGGTTGAGGGGGCAAAGAGACTATCGTGGTACAAGCCGATCGCGCCCGACTCGCCAACTGAAAAAAACGCGTTTGTTTTCATGCGACGAGTAGGGTGATCGCTCCCGACCCGACCCGACCCGACCAGGCCCGATCCCATTCGCAATTGGCACTCAGTATAGTATTAACAAAACGACCGTAATATCACCCAGTGGAGGGACTGACAATAACGACAGGTGAATGAATTATGACGGCTTGTCCCAGGTTTCAAGAGAAAATGCATAATTCTTTACAGAGCCTAATCGCCTCAGGCAGGTAAATTTGGCAGTGGATTGATAAAAGAAGGTGGTAGCGGCCGCCGTGGACATGTGCCCGTTTTTCACAGTTAAATTATATAGAAAAAATGGGGGGGGGGGAAGGGGCCGGTTTAAA